TTTATACGTTTACATGCATATATATTTTTTTTAAAGCCCCATTTATTGCAGTTATGTATTCATTAAAAAAAAATATTTTTAAATGCAGCCATTGTAAGTCCTTGAGTTGTCTTCATTTCAGCCTCCTGTCATGTCCATTGAAGAACAGCTAAGGCTTGGTGAGGGAGGGGCAGCCCTAATAGCCAATCAGGCTCTGCTCTTGTGCACATGTGATGGCACTGAACAGAAGAACAGACATGACGTCATCTATCTGCTGTTCTTTCAATGTCCATTTAAAGGCTCATGACAAGGGTACTTTAGAGTGATCCCATTCTTCTCCACCAGTCCCCATTCTGTACTGTGACCTACCCCCCAACAAACTCCCCCAAATTTTCCAAAATAAAACACACCAGACCTTTGTAGCACCTTGCTAAAAAGAGTGCTAGGTTATTTCTATAGTCTATGTTCAGTTCAACTGTGACATAACAATCTGTGAAGCTGTGTCTGCCTGCTGCTGGGTGTGGTACCACACAGAGCAGAACAGCCAATGGAGTTCAAAGGTCACAGCAGCCACTTATTTCTTTAATTAAATATCAACTTAAATACAAAAATAAAACCAATATATTATCTGAAAAAAACAAACATTACCCAGTAAAAACAGTTTTTACCCCAGGTTTCCGGGTCCCTGAAGGCACATGAAGTAAACAAAAGGAAAACCGCCCCAGAAAACTGTATCTATGGCTTCAAATGACTAATAATGGGCTCTCAGTCCCGCCTCGGGGACATCTATCTGTTAACCGCAGACACATCCAGGCCAAAAAATAGGTGCTCAACAATTGACCACCACTTAAAGGACACCCACACCTATGATGGGTCCCCAAACCATTCTCCATAAACCACGGCATCCCTACCACAAGGACCCCAAATTGCCACCCCAAGACTGCGGTGACGAGCCAAACTGAAACCTACACCGAAAACAAAGAGACACGCAAACAAAATAACAATAGAAAACAACATAAAAAAGGGGCGGGCAAGAATAACCTTTTCCTGGCAAGAAATTCTTCTACTAGAAACTTCCTGACTATACCCAGGATACCCACCCTTGGAAATCCCACCCTTTCCAACCACCCTCCAATCTGGTAAGCGACCCCTCCTTCTATATTCTCTTTTCTTCCCAAATTAACATCTCATATACTTGTCTCCCCTTCTCCCACTGTCATACTGTCCCTCCGCACAATTCCCTTTCTTCCTTGTGCTCCATGCCGTTCTGGACAGGGAAGTGACCAGGCTGCACTGCTTAACTGCAGAACAGAAAAGTTGGGTCACCAACCTAGCTTTGCAGTCTGGTATTGCTATGTTATTAAGAGGACTAGCCAAATAAAACATAATAAAACAAACATCCTTTGGCAGGTAAAACAGCTTCTCTATATGTATTTAAACTGTATCTAGCTTGTTTGCCTGAAGTTTAGACTCCATAACAAAGCTGCATAGAGACATGAACATTTGTGTCTGGCCTCTGCAGATAATTATTCAGAATGTATTTTTTTTCCCATATTTATAGCGTGCCGACATATTAGGCAGCGATGTTACAGAGCATAGCGATCCATTCACATTAGTCCAAAATGTCTGCACTTGCAGCAACTGTATTGTCACTTTGTAATATTAATTTAAAACAGACGGACTCAGTGGAAACATCATGCTTTATCTAATTAGTAAAGTGCTGCACATTCAAATGCTCTTTTCCTAGGGAAAAAAAAAATCTATTTTGAAGTTAGCCTGGGCTATTCCAACTGAGAATATGATGAAGAAATTCATAATCAAAGGTTACTGGCAGTGAAAGCTGCTTGGAAAAAAAAGGATCCTTGCATCTGGAGATAGAGGCAGCTGAAAATACATGAACATTTCAACTAAACCTGAAAAAGTCAAGCTTGGCCTCCCTATTAGCCTGACTGGTGACCTCATTGATCAACAGGGAGGCTTGGAAGGTGGAAAAAAGAACTCTTGGAACCTTAACATGTTTTTATGCATTCATAGAAACCTACAAAACATGTGCAGGATATTTTTCATATGGACGAGCCATCACCCTTTGGGCATGCAAGTAGATGGCTTTTCCATTAAACCCTTTTGAGAAAAGTTCCAGCTCAGAGGAGCACCTTCTCTATGATACCTTCTGATCTGACTTGGGGTCATACCGTATAAGGAGGGTGAAGGGGGCTGCTAGATTTAAGAAGGGTATACACAGGATGAATTTCATCCGGTTCCTGATGAACCGACTGTATTTCGCACAGTGGTTGCCACTGTCGGCAACCTCCTACCCGGCATCCCTTCATTAGCTGATCAAAGGAGCCTGCTGGAAAATTCTCAATCGAACTGAGCTAGCAGCCAATCAGCTGCTAGCTTTCGGCTGTTAAAAAGTATACTTATTCTTAAAAGAGAACTATGGGGTAATATTTTTCCCTATAGTTCTCTTTAGGGTCACGGGAGGACATATACTAACTTCCTCCCGTGACCCTAAAGCTCAGTATATATTGGGCTCTTGCCCGAGATATACTGAGAGCACCTCAGCCGGGATGGATCCCGACAATACTGTGGAGATCCACCCAGCTGCATGAGTGACAGCTGGCTCTGCCTATCTAGAGGCAGAGCCAGCTGTCCCCGCCCCCTCCCCCGTTCGTTCCTCCACTCAGTGCTGGAAGATCATAGAGGGGAGGGGGAATCCCTGCGGGGAGCGGTGACCGGAGATGATCGGGAAGTGGGCGGATCGGCGGCATGTTTCTGCTCACTTCCCGATCGGTAGAGCCGTCCTGTGACAGCTTCTTTGTCACGGGTTGGCTCTAACTATGAGGATGAGTCTAAATCACTCACCTCATAGATCTCCTTTAAAGAGGTCCGAGGTCCTCTGTAGTCTGAAGTTTGTTGCCTTTTCACCTCACACATTGCCTCTCAGTTCCTGAGTCCGCAAAGCACTGTTAACTAACAGAGCCTAGAAATCGCTTACATTCCTCTAAACTATGAGACATTGTTATCTAATGTTATGCAATCTCAAAAGCTGGAGGACAGTGTGTGAGTGTTTTATATCAGGAAGATGACAGGGTTGCAAATGCAAGACCTCAAGTGACCTTGAAGAGCTTCCTTCAGTGCCTGCTCAGTAGCAGGTGTCAGGATTCATAATACATACATATTGTTCCAGGTCAATGGCCCACCAAGTAGTTAAGCAACTATGAAGACGACAGCCATGAAATGTGGACTTTTGGGGGCTTTCTTCTGTGGGGCTTAATTTACAAAAAATAAAGATACCATATATTCACCTTACATTACCTTCTATAGCATGGTTAAAAAAAACATTAGCTGATATTTTTTATGAAGACACTTATACTTTAAAGGAAAAGTAGTGAGCCATGCGTGCCTATCCGGCCAAAAGAGGTGAATTTAGGTGCTGATGGTGGACAGGTAGACCTGGCTTACAATCAGCATTCCAATTCATCTCAAAGTTGTTCAGTGGGGTTGAGGTCAGGTCACTTTGTAGGCCATTCAAGTTCCTTCACACTCATCAAACCACGTCTTTATTGAGCTGGTATTGTACATAAGGGCTCAGAAAAGGGTCTTGCCCAAACTGTTACTAGAAGTTTGGCACCACACAATTGTCTATAATATCTTTGCATGGTAGACATGTGCAATTCGTTTCGTTCCAAATCAAAAATTCGTACAAATTTTCTGAAGTTCAGACATTCGGACACATCTAAATTTCCGAATCCCAATGCATTCAAATGTGTCCAAATCCCCGTTTCCGAATTTCGGATCCCGTCCGAATTTCGTTCAAAAACTAAACTGAATCGCACATGTGACTTTTCTGGCCAATCAGATGTGTTTTTTGGTTTATTCCATCCGAATAGGTCTGAATAAGAATTTTCGTTACGGCAACATGGGAGCCATATCTATATATAGACAGACAATACTAAAGCGGAGGCTCCTAGACCTCACATCCCGAAATAACAAAATATCCGAACCATTTTTTTCTGCAGCTTACATGTCTATTGCATGGTATAGCATTAAGGGTAGGGTACCCAGTTACTGGAAACACCTGAACTCAACAATTCGGTGGGGTCTCCGTATACTTCCGGCTATATAGTGAAGAAAATATAAGCACACTTAGGGCTTGTTCACACCAAGCGTGGAGCAGATCCAGAGCAGAGCAGGTGCAGACCGGATCAAAACTGCGTCCAATGTATTCCTATGGTATTTTGACCTCCAGTTCACATCGCAGCGTGCAGATCCAGAGCAGATGAAAAAACTGCGGCAAGCCCTATTTTACCTGCTCTGGAACGCATCAAAAACGCATGCAAAACGCAAAAACGCATCAAAAACGCATGCAAGTGCCTGAAAGCCCATGTTAAACTTTTTTTAAAAATGTTTTTTTAACCAAAAATGGCCCGAAACGCATCAAAAACGCGGCACAACCCACTGCACTGCGTGTGCAGAAACCTGACCGGATCTGCTCTGCATTTGGTGTGAACAAGGCCTTAGGAAAGGTACAGAAAAGCCACACGACCTTTATGGAAAAAAACTGAACAGAGACTTTGTATTTCAAAAACCATTTGATAGATCTGTCCAGCTGTTTAATAATAATATCGAGTATTTTTTGTTCTTTTTCAGCTAGATTCTCAAACAGCAGAAAACAGAACAAAAAGAATGACTCATACAGAAGAGGAAAGCAGTATACTATGGACTGTGAGCACGCGGTGAGTAAAGTGGAAGCTACACTTACACATTGGCCTTGTGACCTCATGAGCTCAGGAACCTCTGCGCCCCCCGCACCCCCTTAGAAAACTCCTAGTTATCTGACTGGAAAGTAGGGCCTTACCCACCATAGCATTGACAGTTGGCAGTTATGTCTTCACTACCAAAAAAAAACAAAATAATTCCTTGTGATACAAAAAGAAGCTGTCAGAAGAAGAGCGGACGACGTGCAGCTGGCTGATATGAGTAGCAGTTTAAAAAATAAATATGTCACAGGCACTTACCGACACGTAGAGATGACAGCAGCGGGGCCCCAGGGGAGGTGAGACTCAGGAGCAGTAGGAGGAGCGGAGCTCCCAGCTCAGGCTGCAGCATCTTTTTCTACTCCTCATGGAGACGGATCGAGGCGCAGCCACGCTGACACCACCTGTGGGGAAAAAGAGGACTTGTAAGGACAAATAGCAGCGCCATTCCAAAGGGAGCCTGAGAGATAAAGAACAGTAAGGGAAGATTAGAAAACCAACACGTATTTCCCTGAGCGAACAATCAAATGCTAACTGTTATGCTTTTAAAAAAATGAAATGATGACTGCTCCTTGAGCTGTAGTGGCAGGAAGCCTTGACGTCTGGGAGCATGACACTTTAATGGCTGTGCGTGTTAAAAATTGCCTGTTCTTAATTATGGCCTTATTGGGTTGGGTAGTGCGGTGGTGGGCTTGGATGTCTGTTTAATGTAGTGTTGGTATTACAGGCACTGACCTTCAAGACTATTGCAATTTGAATAATTCTCCACCTGACCTCTAGTTATTTGGTCATCCAAGCTTTATAGGAGATTGTTACCCTGCCGGCGTTTATACTCCTGTTTACGACTTATGCCTTGCGTTCTGCCCACTCAGGTTTGCTTTAACCTAACCCTTCATTCTCAGCAGTATATATTTACCTTTTCTTCACTCCCCCATCATTATCTTCAATGGCGAAAGCAGAAGGTGATTATTTCCTGGTAAAGTATAAAGGAGCATGTGGCTCACTCCATATGACAGCACTGAGTTAATCAGCATCCATGTAGTCCACAGCCCTGTGTATGCTACCATTCTTACATATAACATATAGCTTACAAGGATTCTCTTTTGCTCCCGGCAGCTGAACAGAGCAGTGGGGAAGAGAACAGCAAACCATACACTGAACACATTTTGCCAATTTCCTTCTAAATTGACCATAATACAATCCAGGAGTGGCCCTGCTGGCACCCCCCAGGTCAAGAAAAGTTGATTTTTCAATTGACTTTTGTTGAAGGAGCCGGGTGGAAAATTGGTGGCCGATCAGTAAATGGAGTTCAGTCAGCTGCAGTCACCATTTGGGTTTTCCAAGTACAAAAGCCACAGGGGCATTACTCCATCCATGCTCTTTATCATGGAAGGAGGAATCAAGTGATGTTTAAAAATCATGCACACCATTAGAAGGCACAGGCTCATTTTTACTGGGTTGTTGGTATACTCAAATACCTGGGTCCTACTGATACCAACAGACATGTAGATAGTGTTGAGATTGTTCAGGTGTTCACCATATAGCTGTGACTTGCTCAGGTTTTTTTTCCATTGTCAGCGGTTATTAGGCGTATGTTTAATGGCAGGGTATAATAAAACTCTGTCTTTGCCCCTTCCAATTTGAAGTTGTTTCTGGGTCATTATTTGGGTGAAGCTAATGTTATTATGTGATGCTGTGCAATTATGTTTCTCAGCAGTCAAGTAACTTATCAGTTGGTGCGTTAACTGTGCAGCCCGTAAACCTCAATTAAAGTCCCAGGAATAGCGATTCAGTTCGATAGGCATTAAACTGACAGCTTCCATTTTTGGAATCTTACCGCTACTTTCATGCAATGGCAGCTGTGCAGTGTAAATAAATATATGTTTGCAGTCCAATGGAAATTATTGTTTGCCCAGTGGTTCTGTAATCAAGAGGACCTGGTCAGACACACCCCCTCTCTTTCGCCGCACTACGGGTCTATGTGGCACTAGTGATGATGGGGGTGGCTGTTGCTCATCTACACCAACATAAAGCACTGAAGGGGGAGGGCAGGAGGTACATTTCCAGTAAAGGATATTATCAGGGATTTTCAAGTGGATATCAGTTAGGGTATATGTCAAAGCAAATAAATAAAACATATGCGGTACATTTCTGCAATACATGCATATCTTCCCATTTTTTTATCCCTATAAGCACGATTCAAGTACAGAGATATAACTGTTGATCTGCCAGAAATAAAGTGTGCCCCTGCCTACCTCTTTAACATGACAACACAGTGTCTTTTGGGCTTTGAAATCCAAAGCATGTTGTGTCAGGCTTGCATGCTTTATTTCTATTGGATTTCAAAGAACACAGACCTCTTCTAGTCTCCATAACCCCTCCTCATCTCCAAAACCCCTCCTCCTCATCTCCCTAACCCCTTTCTTCTCCTCTCCATAACCCCTCCTCATCTCCATAACCCCTCCTCGCCTTCCTCCGTCCCATCCTCATAACCCATCATCTCTAGACCCTTCCTCATCTCCAAAACTCCTTCTCATCTCCAAAACTCTTTCTCATCTCCATAAACTCTTCTTCTCATCTCCATAACTCCTCCTCGCCTCCCTGCATCCCATCCTCATAACCCATCATCTCTATGACCCTTCTTCATCTCCAAAACTCCTTCTCATCTCCATAAACTCTTCTCATCTCCATTTCCCTCCTCACCTCCATAATCCTCTTTCTTCATCTCCATAACCCCTCCTCATCTCCATAACCCCTCCTCGCCTCGCTCCGTCCCATCCTCATAACCCATCATCTCTATGACCCTTACTCATCTCCAAAACTCCTTCTCATCTCCATAGCCCTTCATCATCTCCATAAACCCTTATCCTCATCTCCATAACCTCTCCTCATCTCCAAAACCTCTTTTCCTCATCTCCTTAACCCCTCCTCATCTCCAAAACCCCACCTTATCTCCATAACCCCACGTTATCTCCATAACCCCACGTTATCTCCATACCCTTCCTTCTGCACAGGCGGAGACCAGCAGAGAAGTTATCAGCTCACAAGATTATTGATTATTGACAAGATTTTTGATAATCAACAGATATTGCTTGCACTTATAGAAGAGATATAACAAAACACTTTCAATGGTATATTTAGCAAACCCAAAGGGAGCAAAGTATTGTTAGGGTTTACATACACTTAACAAATCATAACATAAATCAGTACAGGCCTTAAAAAAGACTTAAAAGTGAGAGCTTCCAAATGGACTTCAAGGCCGATGATGGATATTAGTAGGATTATGCAAATGTTTCCCATGACAAGTGCACTAAGATTATTTAATCAATACAGATATTTTTACTTAAAGGCTACAGCGAAAAATATTGTATCCTGGTAACTCTTTGTGGTTTATTGATATTATTCAGCATCTGAATCCATTTTTTATTTCATATGGTTTTGTTTTTTTCATTTTTGTTTCCTTACATTTACATGCAGGCCAAATCTGTCCAGCAAAAGTGGCAGTTACAGGGTTTGGTACAAATCATATAGCATGGTGGGTGCTTACAACGGTCAGCTTTTATTCATATGGTTTAAAACCTACCTGCAGTCCTCCGCACTGCAAGAGTTAACTGCTCTTTTATTTCTAGGGGTATCGTGAAGAGGACTTTTACTTACCTGGTTCCAGTTACCTTGGAGGTCAGCGGTCATCTTCCCCCCTCCGCTCCGGATTGTGGACTGTCCCTCGGCATCCTCACTTATAAACAAGGCTTAAATGCAGGGATATACTGTAGACTCTACATTAGATGTGATGATATCAGCAGACCTCTGACCGCCAGAGTGCAAGGTGGAAGAGGCTGAGGTCACCGGTCCAGGAGCCTATGGAGAGGGGGTCAGGCAAGTGAAAGCCCTCTACACATGTCCCTTAGACAAAATCAAATAGTTAGCCATTGCAGTGCAGGGGTAGCCCAACTGCAAGGACAGCTGTTTTTTTGTTTTACCTGGAGATAGGCTTTAACTCTTTTTTTGCAAAAGGGAGCATCTCTATGCTTTGGAGCTGGAGTCTCTAACTCTGCTGCAAACTCTTTTTGGCCCAGCCCTTTAAGCTCTTGGGCTAAAAGTAACCTGCCATGAAAGATACATGGAGGTTTCCAGTGCTGAAGTTCTCCTTCTGAAAATGCTAAGTGCTCAGCTTTCACGTTGAACCTCTTGTTTCAATACTTTCAGGCACTGACCCTTAAACAAGATCAGGACCCCTAACTTCTTTCTTACTTTACTGATAATACTTTTTCCAGTTCAGTAACTCATAGAGTATTAAAGCCAATGTGTCAGCATAACAGTCATGCAGGTCAGCAATAAAGTCTCTGGAAGTTAAGCTCCTAGTTAAAAAACAAAGGAGTTTCCGTGAGGCACACAGAAGAGTTCTGGGTAATAAAGTTGTGGTTAAGTTGCATGCTTCTGAACCCGTCCCATTTGGGATGAAATGCGTAAAGATATACCAGGCACAATGCTGCTCTGGTAGTCCTGCCTCAGCTCGGACATGGGATGATTATATGGGAGACCTGGAATGGAGAGCAGCCTCCACTGCTTCCCATCCGGCCAACCAACAGCACCAGGCCCATGATGCTCTTAATCCGGCCCTGGTTTAGGTGACATCTGTGTAAAAGAGGATTGCTCTCACTTTGGAAAAATTGTTTCCTACTCCCTGTGGTGTCTACAAGACAGAAAAAAGTAGGAAGGAAATAATTTAAAATGGCTGACAGGTCCACTTTTTGCAACCTCTAATGCTATCTGAAGGCTGCTTTACCTTACATTTCGCTATCGTGATTAGCAATTAGCGCTTAAAGCAGACCTTTACCCATATCTTTAAAATAACAACAAACAGACCTTTAGAAATGTTGAGTGATGACAATCTACAAGCACATACTTCTAGATAATTGCAGACTTTGTATTCTTTGCATTCCTTATTTATCTATCCTTCCCCAGTCTTATGACAGTGGCCATGTTTACTACGGGCAGATTACTAGCTCTCCCTTTACTTCCTGGAACTCTAGGACTCTGTGACTAGAACATGTGACCATGCACATCATCTCAGGGGAGGAAAATGCCTTTCCCTTAGATCTCGTGAGATTACAGATGAGATTTCCCAGCAATGCTCTGCTGATGACAAGGCAATCCCAGTGTGCATTGTCTTGGCAAACTGAAGTAATTTGCACTTTCAAAGCAGGAAGCGAATGCTCTGCAAGTGTCAGTATTTCAAAATCACAGCATTTTACACCTGACATGTCTATGTTATTATAAATCATCATACATAGAGGGAGGCACTGGTAGAATTAGATTTTTGAGTGTAAGGGTACGCTTTAATGTCTCTGCGGTGTTTTTGCATCTAGCCAACCTCGCACTTGGCGCGTTCTTGCCATGAGCC